TGATCCTCACCTCAGTCGCGAGAGTAAGAGAAGGCCGGTCACTCACTGTCAAGCAGTTCCAGACTGCTTGGGCTGATGACAGCTGCGTCCAGTGTGATAACTCTTGGCCGGCTGTACATGAGACCCCTACAGTGGTGGCTCAAGACCAGGGGGTTCTCCCCGAGGGGAAACCCGCTTCACATGTTCAAGGTCACACGGAGATGCCTACGTGCCTTAGACATATGGAGGAAACCTTGGTTTTTGTCTCATGGTCCGGTGCTGGGAGCTCCTTGTCGCCGCGTGACGCTAGCGACGGACGCATCCCTCACCGGTTGGGGTGCGGTCATGAGTGGCCACCCTGTCTGTGGAGTGGTTGCCATATGACGTGGTATATCAATTGTCTGGAGATGCTGGCCGTGTTTCGAGCACTGAAACACTTTCTCCCAGACCTAAGAGGTCACCATGTGTTGGTCTCTTACATCAACCACCAGGGAGGTCTGCGTTTTCACCCCTTGTACAAGTTGGTGCACCAGATCCTTGTGTGGTCCCAGGAGAAACTCCTCTCGCTGAGAGCAGTGCACATTCCTGGGCATCTCAATGTGGGAGCAGTCGAGGCAGGGGCTGAGGCCCGGGGAATGGATGCTTCACCCCGAGGTGGTGAAGCAGATATGGAGAGTTTTTGGCCAGGCTCAGGTGGACCTGTTTGCGACTCAGATGACATCGCACTGTCCCCTCTGGTTCTCTCTGACTCATCCAGCTCCACTGGGGCTGGATGCCAGGGTACAGAAGTGGCCGAGGCTTCGTCTGTACGCCTTTCCCCCGATCGCTTTGCTCCCGGGAGTTCTGGAGAGAGTGCGCCTGGACGGAGTCGGTCTACTGTTAGTAGCCCCGTTCTGGCCGGGCTGAGTATGGTTCTCGGACCTGATTTCCCATCTCGACGGCTCTCCATGGGAGATTCCCATCAGGAAGGACCTCCTCTCGCAGGCAGAGGGCACGATATTTCACCCCCGCCCGGAGCTGTGGAAGTTATGGGTGTGGTCCCTGAGGGGGCACAACTAGTAGCTTCTGGTCTCTCAACTGAGGTTGTTGAGACCATCCTCCAAT